CATATATGTTTAAGGGAGCTTGAATAATTTGTTTGCTTTGATTTTCACTCATTTATTTTAATTCCTTTAATTAATGTGGAATATCTAAATATTTTGTTCATAGAGTCTCTTCAGAGTAAGAACAAAATAATTAGTCAAATCCTTCCGCAGTAAGTAGTAACAAGGATATGTTTTACAGGTTCCATCCCTCCTGCTTTGCTTCGTCTAACCAATCTGACCTACTTGTATCTTGATTCAAATCTTTTACAAGGTAACATATCCATGGATAATGGGAGTTTGGGAATTTCATATGACTCACAAAACAGATTAAATAGACCCAACCCTGTTCAATTTAGGAATTGCTTGAATTTAGTGGAGTTATCATTGAGTAACAACTACTTAAATGGAACCATCCCACTTCATATTGGCAAACTCTATAGCCTCTCGCTAATTAATATCAGCCATAATTCCTTTAGTGGAAAGATACCTTTTCAACTTGGGGATTTGCCAAGTTTGGCGGTGTTGGATCTTAGTTACAATACTTTGTCGGGCGCCATACCAAATAACTTGCTTTATCCAACTTATTTGAGACACTTGTATCTTGATTCAAATCTTTTAGAAGGTCATATACCTAGTTATTTTGAGGATGAATGTTCTTTGAAATATTTATACCTCTCCCAAAATAGATTGAGTGGACCCATTCCAACTTAGCTTGGAAATTGCTTGGATTTAGTGGAGTTGAAATTGAGCAACAACTCCTTAAGTGGGAGCATCCCCATTCAAATAGGCAATCTTTTTATGCTCTCGTGAATTGATATCAGCCACAATTCCATTAGTGGATCCATCCCTGTCCAACTTATGAATTACTTCTTTTTGATGGAGTTATCATTGAGCAACAACTACTTCAATGGAAGCATCCCCCTTGAGATTGGCAATCTCCATTTTCTCTCACTAATTGATATTAGCCACAATTTCATCAGTGGAGAGATACCTCATCAACTTGGGAATTTATTATCTTTGAAGGCCTTAGATCTCAGTTACAATAACCTCTCAGGCCAAATCCCAATTAACTTGATTCATTTTCCAAAGAGGTCTTTCATAGGAAATAAGGGATTATATGATCACCATCTTAGGAGCAAAATGTTGAGGCATGTTAAAATTATTCTTCCCAGCACCATTTCTATTTTCTTGGTACTTTTGGCTTTGTTGTCGTTTTCTAGAAGAATACATAGAGCTAAAAGTAGGGAAGCATATCCAAGTCCAACAAAAAATGGGGATATATTCTCAATATGGAACTTTGATGGAAGGATTGCATATGAAGATGTCATTGAAGCAACTGAGGATTTTGACATCAAATATTGCATTGGCACTGGTGGGTATGGTAGTGTTTATAGAGCACAATTGCCAAGTGGTCAAGTAGTTGCTTTAAAGAAACTACATCGAAGGGAAACAGAGGAGCTAGCCTTTGATAAGAGTTTCAGAAATGAGGTTAAGATGTTGACAGAAATACGACATAGAAACATTGTGAAGCTTCATGGATTTTGCCTACATAGGAGATGCATGTTTTTGATCTATCAAAACATGGAAAGAGGAAGCTTGTTTTGTATGCTTAGAAATGATGATGAAGTTGTGGATCTGGATTGGAACCTAAGAGTGAATGTCATAAAAAACATAGCACATGCTTTGTCTTACCTTCACCATGATTGCATCCCACCCATCATTCATCGAGACATATCAA